ATCGAAATGAGCTGTACTGAGGACCATGATTTCAAATTCAGTCACAAGACGGCTTTAAAATTGGGGTGTCAAGGTGGCTAGAGGTGTGCATTGGTGAGTTAGATCGAACTGGGGAGACCCACCCCCGATGAGTTAAGCGTTCTCCAAGAACGCAATGCTTTATGAAAACATTTATTACTCGATTTGAAGAAAGTCAACAGAGCAGGAAAATGTTGATGTAGGGGAAGCATTGTCAAAGGTGCTTCCAGCATAAATGACGTCAGCGGAGGCCCGCCCACAATGAGCGAAGCTTGCCTCGAAGTTCACATCGTTTCTTACATTTATATACGAAAATTCATAACTCCGGTTCCCATGGACCTAGAGAGTTCAAATTTGGTCGGAGTACAGGCGGCATGATGGGAACACTCACGGTGGGTGGCAGAACCGGACCCTGCTCACAAGGGGCGAGGCGGCAGGATGGGAGCACTTATGTCGGGTGGCAGGACTTAACTTCGCTCACAGGAGGCGAGGCATGGGCAAAAAAACTTTAATTTAGTCTTGGAGCGAAATTTCGAAACCAAGGTTGAATTAGTCAGAAACAAATCGAGTTACTCAAACACACAGAAACTAAGGAGATTTGTTAATGGCAGATGGGGCGCGCACGACTTGTGTTGCGTTTTGGATTTGGCCGGGAATGAACACTTGCTGTTCTCATCTACCGAACCCTCCAAATTTGACGTCAGCCGGGCAATCTATGTATAAAGCGTTAACTTTGTGTGTCTGTTTGTAGTCGGTTTGTGCGTCTCTGAAAGTCACGTAGACACGATGAGGATTGTAGAAATCACGTGGGCACATGTTGACATGGATGAGGGACATGTTGCGGAATAGGAAATAGGAAGTCCATTGATATTGTATATATCTCACTAACCAAGACGGAATACTAGGGGATGGTTTGCATGGGCTAGCGTGCGCAGCACAGCTGGTAATCATACAAAGTATTATCGAGGAATACTTCACCAATCCCTCCCATTCCATTTTGCCAGTGATTCTTCCCTTTGTAAAAAAAGTCTAGATGGACTCATGTTGACTCCTTTCTTTCAGACCATGAGAACGTTTTGGGGACGGAAAGGAAAGTCGATAACCATACCATGCACCTTGCCTCTGCCCAACGACACACACTTCTCATTGGAGTGGAGGAAAGACAATAAACTCATCATGAGTGCTTATGGTGCTGAAAGTGGGCATGCAGCACCGTCTCAACAAGGTAACAGATATATCCTGCCATACCTTTCATGTTCTTGTGAAAGTAGTGTTTGCCTGCTTGTAGACATGGACAAGAGAAAAGTTGCTGTGGAATAGTACAAAAATGTCCGTCTCTATTCAAAAAACTGCCGCCATTTAGTTCATCTTAATTGCACTAAACAGCCTGACCTGAAACAGCGAAGCCTGACCAGGCTGAACAGTAGTGACAGATAAAGCTCAAAACGTAAACGTAATGTGGGATTTGGTCTTGTTCTTCGGCACCCAAGCATAGACGGAAAAGCGACGAAAAATCTCTAAATAGATGCAGGTATCGAATATAATTTTGATTGCTCGATGAGAAGCTCGTTGATTTGCCTCCTAGGGTTGCGTTGTCACGCGATGTTACTTGCCCCTGTGCCTGTTTCGGAGGCACAGCTGGTTCTGACGAATTCTCCCCATAGTATGCCATATTGTGTCATATTATGCTCATAAATCTCAGTTAAAACATGACCTGCCCTACCCTTTTACATTCCTGACAACGAATGACAGTGTAGGGTCAACGGCGCTATCTTCAAATGCAGTACGAACTTGTTTAATCTCTGCTGACCTTTTTATAGGAGCTTCATATAGAATAGCTAATAACCTTTTGACGACCATGGCACCCGTCGGTGGGTGCCACTATAAGTGGCGCATGGAACCAGGGCACCCAATGTTGGGTGCCACCATGTTTTTCCTTTATTCGCACATATGAAACTTATTTAATATTTTCATATTTATTATCAGACTTTATGATATTTGTCTTCAACATGGTCTACGTGGATGTTTTATAGGAGCTTATTTATTACAATCATGTATGGCAAGGATTGTGTGTGCCCTAGAAGCATTGGAGGCAGCACCTAGAATACCTGATTTGCGACTATGTGACTGTGCGGTCGAACTCTTCATCCTCAAGTTCCTTGGATGTTATACGAACTCCTACTGCTTATACTGCTACCAAATTTCTAACCTACATTGCTTCGGAACCCGAGCTGCAATTCTGAACCGCAGTATTTTATATAAGATGAACTAGGATCTGATGCTTCTATTATGCGTAAATATTGCTAAGTTCATTAAGCCAGAAAAAAGAGTTTCTCCTGGGACCATGGCACCCACCGGTGGGTGCAAGTCGCACACGAAAGGAAGGGGGCGTGGTCCCGTGGGCGCGTCACGTCGAAATCGGCACTGTCGTTAAAGGGATAACGTGAAGATCTCGCATATTTTAGAAAAGGTTTATAGACATAGAGGCACTGACCATGTCACTCAGCGGTTGTATATTTATGTTTTGGCACGTGCTGTTGTATAATAATAGGAAGGGATATGCCAGATCTTGTTGTTCTTTCTGTGAGAGAGAAGAGTGATTATATAATTGCTATTACAAATACAGCGCAGTAGCTACTCTCATAGTCCACGATTTGGCCAGCGACCGATGGCGCGACCGGTCGCGGACCTATCGAGCGGCCAGTCGCGCGACCGATCGCTCGGCAGCACCGCGCCGCCTTCTCGACGGGTCGCGCGATAGGTCGCTGGCCAAATCGTGGACTATGAAAGCAGCCGGTGTCATTTCTGCTCCGTAAAATGCATGTGTTGTCGCCATCAAGCAAATGGCACAGCATCTTGTTTCCGCATTCCACCATACCCGATGGGATGCAAATGTAACTTGAAGGTCCAACTACTTCCAGTTGAACAAGAGTATTCGTTCACGACGCTATATTGTCCTGTACAAACGTTATCTACAACTGTCAAGAAATAAATTTAATATTATAGATCTCTATTACAAATGACAAAATAACACCCGATACGCTAGTTCAGATTGCCACAATATTATTACTGTACTTGGATGAAAGGACCAAATGTGATTATCAAAGTCTACAGTACATCTGTAAGGATCTATTTAGTACGCTGCAGGATAAAAAGAAAAATATAAAGACCCGTCGGCGGTGATTGGAGAAAATTACGTACCAGGATGTCCAGAAATTTTCGCGCTAGATAGATATTCACGCTAAGTAGACCGCGTACCTTGAGCACGGAAGAACGATAATGTCCCTACTATGTTGTTAATTACGCATCCACTGAATGATAGGAATGGATTGCAAGGCGTTGTTTGAAATCGCAGTTCCGCAAGAGGTGCGGTAGTCGTCGTATGGCGAAATACAATTGCTGTAAATCATGATTAATTGACGAGGAATGCTCACAGACAATGTAGATCCTGAAATGCTTCTTTCAGAAGCAGGCAAATAGTGAGAAATTTCATCGTCTGGCAAGCTCTGCGACTAAAAAATTTTTCGAAGCAGGTCATAGGGTTAGCTGTGAAAGGCGAACTCATCTGATGTTCAAGAATGAATTGAGGTTTCGAAAAATTTGAAATATTGAAAGAAATTGAGTAAATTTCAAAGGTTGACATTGTGAAATATATTGTACCACGACATCTCTAGACACAGTGATTCTTCTTCTCGCCGACATTCGAATTCTGGTACGATCCTTTCTCATGAACACGCTTGAATACAATACTCAGAATTTTTTCGGCTCACTTTCAGCTGAGTATGATTAAGTATTAACGCCGAGCATATCATGATTTCTGCCTACTGCAGAATTGTGCTCGGAAGAATTCGCGAATTTAATAAAACCGTTTCACGTCCCGGTTCGTAGCCCATTATTATGGTATGTAAAGCGCTCAAGTAATCCTCACGGCGTACAGCTGTAGTATCTATGCCTATTTATATGAGCAGAAGGAGAGCGTCATAAAAGGGCAGAAACGCAGCAACATCATTACTGTAACATGGGATGTCACCGCTCGCATAGGTTGCTCCTGCATTGCTGGGGTAAATCAAAGTACAAAGTACTTTTGGGAGGGATTCATCAATGGCGTCCGCTCTTCTTCGTTTCTCTAAATTATACACAGAGATATGGAAATATTTTACAAAAAGGTAAAATAGATAGGCGCTCCAATACCCTATTGAAATTCGAACAATAAATGAAGAAAAAAAAACTAGTGTCATCATAACAGTAGTAAATAATATACCTGGCAAAGTCTCGAGCTTAAATGACCGAATCACAGAGAACATTCTTAAAGAAAACAAAAAGCCACTTCCATTGTCTGCAGTAGTTTCTTCTTTGTCCATTAATACATTCTTCATTGTATGTTCATTATTCGTTCTCAGAATTTCTAGCTTGGTTCTTATACCATCGAGTTTATGAGAGAAATGATCCGTTTGATAAGTCTCATGAACATTAATAATAATGATGTCACTGTTGATGTTTCCTTCGCTGCTATACAAAATACGGGTGAATGTTGCGACTGTTAAACTAGGGTGCTGGTAATTATCGTTTTTCTTAGAATTCCTGCGAGGAAGGACCACCTGTAGGAAAGTTTTGAAAAGGTTTGGACAAAAATGCTCATTGAACAAATTTAGACCATGTAAAGTAGGCATGCCGCCTTAAAGTATGATGATGGCAAGTTAGACCGCAGCCATGGTGATTTTCTGCAATTTCTTCATAATTATGGCATCGCCGAGTCGTGCAGTCTGAATGCTTGATGGTTGCTGCAGAACAAACACGTGCCTGAAACGCAGTCCCACCAAGAAAAGGTCCTTGTCTGGTCATGCAGAACTTTCTATCTTCAAAAGTATCATCATTCCACTCCGGAGGAGGAACGAACTCAAGGCCAGATCCTGTTACCAAACAAACTATCCAGACCAAGTTTCGGAGGAAATATTGCGAAAGCTGACTGATTCTTCCTTCCAATGAGTCGTTCCACATCTATTTAGTAGTATAATAGTATATACCTTACGAAAAGATATCACTCTCATTTGCCCACGAACAGATTCCGATGAATTGCATAGCAGGTTAGGTACAATTGAAGCCCTACACTGAAATAGGATGCTAATAACTTTGTCAACCGAAATCCACCCTGGAACTTTTTTGTAGGTAATTATTAGGTGATGAAAACGAGCGCAGTAAAAAAAAGCGCTCGCTTCTAATCCGTTACTCAATAAATAACCGCACCTTTTGATCACATTCCATCTTCAGTAAATTGTCATAAAACTGGCCTCAGATTAGCTTATAGAGTTTGAAGTCAAAGTTGAATGAGTACTCAAGGATAAATCCATTGTTCAACAGCTCTCGCCGATTTTTCAAAAATTTACGCACACTTGCCTACTTGCGCTGAGTAATGTAACATAAAGGACGATGCAATTGATTGCAAGTACTCTCGAGCATTTTGTTTTCAGGACAGAAGGGGAATCCTCCCTTACTACGGATGTTCCTTTTGAAGAGTATGCAATCAATCCCTGGTCAATTAAAAGTTTTGACACAGATTATCATAGTTTCCAATCCTCAAATGTATGGCAGTATATTTTGATTTGATTTTAAACCTAATGAGATCACATGAATCTGAAGTAATCAGATGAATATATGTAAAACTCGTTGAACTCACTTCTCTCAGAATGAGTCAATCAGTCATAGTTGCCCACCCACTCATTACCCTCGAAGGCTATACGATTCGCCGATGCGGAACCATATGCATTAACCGCAATCACCAGGATCTCAAATGCGAAATTTTAGAAGGTTCCCGTTCTCGGGTGAGAACTCAAGGATTACTTCGTCAGCGTTTTTAATTCGTGCAGTTGTTTTTGTGAGTGAAAAGGATTTCCAAGCACCTTTCCTCCTTCTATGATAGACGTGATATACCTAAACACCCGAAGTGAAATAGTTAGTGATCAATATTCAAGCGTTCAGTAGAGATGATAACAAAGCATTGGTGTGAAGGCATCGAAAAAACAATACACTCGGCCCAATTAATGGAACCATTCTTTCACCTCGGCCTTGTCGCTGTGTTCCCAATTCAGTACAGTCGTATCAACCTCAGTTCTTATATGAAGATCTGAGACCGCTTCTGGACGTAAATTGATAGCCTCAATTTGACATTGGCGAACCTGAAGGTATCACGACCAGTTTAGATATCGAGGCACGGTTTGTTGTGCCTTAACTTACGTGACTTTCATGTTCCAGACAGTTGTAACCATTTAGAGTTGTCAGCTCATAATTGCTGTCACACATTCCGAGGCAGTGATATGGTACCTAGATCGGGATCAGAATGTACATGTGCTTAGCAATACTCAGATGGGATAATCTATCTATCTATCTATCTATCTATCTATCTATCTATCTATCTATCTATCTATCTATCTAATCGATCAACCAACCAACCAACCAACCAACCAACCAACCAACCAACCAACCAACCAACCAACCTACCTACCTACCTACCTACCCACCTACCTACCTACCTACCTAACTACCTACCTACCTACCTACCTGTACAGGTAGGAAGGTAGGTAGGTAGGTAGGTAGGTGGGTAGGTAGGTAGGTTGGTTGGTTAAATGGCTACCTGCCTGCCCACCTACCTACCTATCTACTCCGACCATTATATGAGCTCATCTTTATATAATCAAAAAGGTAATAATTGAAACGATTGATAGATTTTCGAGGAACGACAGTTTTCTTCACCTTTTTCCGGATGCAGCATGCTGCACTATTCATTTCACTAAGCGTACAACGTAGTAAACTTTGGAATTCATCAAGGCACCGATATTGTGGCAAAAAGTTACCTGAAATCACCGTTTTTTAGTGAAAAAGTGCTGGTTTTGAGATTTTCGAAGAAGCACTCACTGAATATTGCATGCCATTATATATGTAATATAATGTGTAACCTAAATGTTGCTTCAATTTTTTTACTTAGAGCAGACTGAAATGACGATGTCTTCACTACTGTTTCCATTTCCTGTCTTTAGTTATATGTGTTAGTGCATTCATATGTTCCTCAGTGATGTCCACTATTCGCTTCTGGTGACTTTCCCTTTACATTAATTACCATATCTGATTTGTTATTTATATGGAAATCCCAAAGCCTTCAATCTAATACCTTAAGCTATGGTTTGTGTTAATAGCGCAAAATCGCAAAGCAATATGACTTTATAACTTTTTCCGGACTTATAAGCGCTGAAACTTCCTTTAGTGTTCTTTTAGTGTTCTCAAAATCATTTCGATTCGGTTCCAGCGTATGGTATCGCAGAGACGGGATGAGGAGTAGATGACTGACCCACGGATGAATAAGTGAAAGTCGGGTTTTTATTACAACAAGACCAGTCGCGCTCGTCAAACACGAAATAAGCAAGAAAAATAACCAGAAAAACTCAGTGTACTGCATGTTTCTGCAGAACAAAGGTTTACTCACCAGGTTTGAGACCTCGTTTTCTATCACTGCCGACGTGGCATACAGAGTGGCAATGTGCTCTAAATACTGCTCGTGAACAACATTCCAATGGTGTTTCTGGTGGGCTGAGAGGTGGGCGTCCAATGGCATGCGAATGCGCCACCAAATGGACCTAAAATTGCTAAGAAAAACAAAAAAGTGAAGGGGGAATTGGTGGTGCTGTCTGTTATTGACAAGGGGTGAGACGCAATGCTGGTAAGCAGCGAGCAAAGCACGTGTCCCACACACATGTCTAAAGGATGTAAGCGACATTATAAGAAAGAGTCAACGGAAGGGCTGTTCTCGATTGCTATGAATATGAGTAGAGCTCACCTCGCCGTAATCGTTGCTGTGTCCACGTACATGACATTTGTACATACCAAAGTCGGACCTTTCAAGTGAGCGAATATCCAGAGCCGATACTAATACACCAGTTCCGTCTTCGGATGCATATGTAGTGACCTTGAACCGATTGCCCTCGACCTTACGATGGGAGGAACCGATCCTCTTCTCCCACACCATGTGCATTTTTGCACCAACGCCCATCCGTAGACGGCATGGTAGTGTCACCTTTGTAGCATCGTAGGGGAGCTGCACTGTGGAGGAATAGCTGACACCATCTTGGTGGTTAATTGTTGACGTGCTAATGTGCAGAATATCGGATGGTGTAGATTTTCTGGATAGATCTGATGAGTGTGCCACGACGAATATAGCATACTTGCCTTCTGGCCGAAGATTGGTCAGATTTATCGAAAGTAGTTTCGTCGAGTGAATAACTTCCTCGTGTAGAGCGTCCAACGTATCAGTAACGTGCACTTTGTAGATGTGCACAAGTTCTGGGTACTTTGCAGGGGCACTCCACTGGATGTGGGCCGATGTGCTGGACTTTGAAATCACCTTCAGGAGTTGAGGTGGAGTCGGTGTGTTAGAGTGACTGCGGAGAATGCAGGTATACATTGAGGGAAGATTGATCGCCAGGCATGATTGGTATCTGACCCACCGGTTAACGCCGTGCGATGATCCGCGACAAATTGCTAGGCAGGAGTTCTCTTCAGCTTGAATCGCTGTCGTGCGACAGCATTCGGACGAATCTCGACCATCGACGAGACATTCAGCGATTTCTGTCAAATAATGTGCGCAACCAGTGCGGGCCTCAAAGATCGTATAGCGTTCGATGTCGCCGGGTGGCGATTCGAGGCGACACAAAGCGTGTGAGCAGGCATCCGAAACACCACGATTCCGGCAGCAGGACTCAATATGAGCGTTCACTGGGTGGTTATTTGAAATGTATAGCACAACGATAAGCATGACCACGTAGGCCAGCCTCATCGGAAGTGGGTCAGGGATTGCCTACCCCGCGTAGGGGCCGCCGCTCTTGATCCCACTACCAACAAACCACCGCCCCTTCTCCCCGCCCAGAAACGGTTCGCAAAAGTGTGATAATAAGCATCGACCAAAAGGCCTGACTTCGTTATTTTATATATCTCGTTTATCCAATAATCATCTCTTTCGCTAGCGTATTTGACAACCCTTGAACTCGACGTAATGACGAACAGAGAAATGAATGGGATGTGTTGCAGGTAGCGTTGCACGAGGTGCAGGTCTGGACCTTACCATACATTCAGTCAAAGAAAGCGACGCAGGAAAGTACCATTGTGCTCTAACTCGGTTCGCCGAACAGCCAACCAGGCCTGAGATAGGATCGGCTTTGCGACTGGTTGTAAATGGTGGGAGATTCTTTATGTTCAGTAATATTTTGTTGATTAAACACGAGAGAATTTTGTCTTGCTGCATCGATTTAAAAAAAAGAAGCAGCCTAGCGGTTTTCTACCCAATTCCAAGTGGGAAGATTTAGGCTTTATCTAGCAAATGTACGATGTTATGACTGATGTTAGTTCAGGTGGAGCGTAAATTACGATGAGAGGGATAGCGTCGGGCTACGTGTTTCCTTGAGCGACCGCGCTCGCTGTATGGAATGAACCGCCGTATCACTGGGAGCTTAGGAGTAGATGTTTTCGCACGTTTTTCTCATTTGAAGGAACATCATATTGTTCTCTCAAAGAGTGCGAATGTTCTCAAAGGGCGAACATTTAGTTGTTTTTTACCAACAATTTTGCCGGTACCTACTTCGCTTCTGGTCAGGAGGGAATTTGTGAAATTTCAAAAGGTGATGAAAAGCAGATATTAAGATCATCATTTTTCAGAGCAAAATTGTCTGCAGAGATATCAATCCGGTTTTAAGTTGATCGTCACACATTTTGCTTTCATATTGTGGGAGCCGAATTATATGAAGAATCTATTTCTAAAGATTTTTTTTACATGATTTTCAGCCAGCCCGATTTTGCTAACACCAGTTGATCATCAAGTAAATTATGGCAGCATTGGTGATTCCTTAACGGTAGAGTGCGAAGCGGATGGGATTCCACCGCCGGAGATCACTTGGACCAAGGTGAGAAAGAACTTTTTATTGCTTGGCGTGATTCACATCTACTATCGAAACAGTTGAGGTTTTGACGAATTCAATCGGTTAGTGGGCGGTTTGGGAGAACTATTAGAATCTACCTCCGTCATTACAATCTATGGTCTTATGAAGTCTGATACATGAGTATAACCGTTAAGTAGGTTGTCGTGGTAAGCAGGACTTGCTGCGTATATTCGACCTCAAACTTAGGTAAATGAACCATCAGTGAGGTCAGTACACTGGAGAACAACATCAAAAGAGATTATAATGGTACAATTTTAGACATAATTGGTAATTATAAAGGAGAACATAAACCATGCAAAGTATATTCAATTCTATCTTTCTTTCTAACTCCTTCTTCGGTACATGATGCCGTAAAATAATGGACATGCAGTTATGAATCACACCATACTAATTGAAAAATCGTAACCTATTTCCTAATGGTCTTAATGCCATGCGCGATTAGAAATTAGAATCATTTCAAATAAAAATGGCGAACTGGATTTTGAAGCCTGCATAAGCAGTAGCCCACGGTATTTAGATGCCCGCAGCCTCTAAATAGATAACACTAGAACATTAGCACAATTACCACGTCTTGCGTCAAAGGCACAGTTGAGGTAACAATGGTTCCTGATTTTTCTCTGAAGGATGAACCTGTGACCCCCAAGAAAAGCGCAAGTAATGCTGTAAAGCCGAAAATGAGTTCGAATAGGGCGTAAAAAGAGACCCAAAAAACGGGTTAGTCGACGTGCACAACCAAGGCGTATGAGTCATCACGGTGCTGTAGAGGTTGCACCGTTTGCATCGGGACCTACACTTTGCACGCAGGCAGCATGCCGTAGCCAGCCATACGCAATGGCACAAACAAGTGGGCAATTCGCCAAAATAGCCAATAGCCCTCTCATGCAACTCTCATGGTCACACTCTCGTTCAGCTCCTAATGTTACTAATTCTTTGAAGCATTGAGTCTCTCGAAATACGCCGATGCTAACGCTTTTTTCGCCTTTTTCGCACCACTCTTGACTATCACTCCCATTATTCGTCTTAAACTCGATACCCCAAAATTATCGCGAACTGTGCCTAAGGAAAATGTATGGAGGAGGACCACGCAAGACTTAATTCTGATTACGGAGTGAATTATTCTACCTTACCTTTCCAGATTTGACTTACTTTTGGAAAGATATATTGGCACTATTGCACTATTACACCCCCAGTGTGGGGGTTGGCGCCAAGGGAGTTTTCACCAAACTCTTCCTTAGTGAGCTAACCGAACGGCCCTCTCTAGGGCCACATCTGAAGTCGCAGAGCTGGTCAGAACAAGAGAGCAAGGACGATTCTGATNAAACTGTTACATATGTTTGTAATTACTTAGCGAGGACTTGTGTAGTTCGACGGGCGAGTAGGTGGCATTTTGTTGCTATTGCTCACGTTGACTTTGATTCCCAACTGTGAAGAGGGCAGAAGTCAGTGGACAATAGGCCGACCCGCTTTTGCAAGAAAACGTTCGTGAAAAGAGATAGTGTTTGTTATAGATATGATCAGGACCTCGAATAACCCCTATATACAAGTTTACAGTGAATTTGGTGAAAACAACCCTGGCGCTATTTGCGCCAATTTGGCGCAGCGCCAGAGATGGATACCATATTCGTGATCAGCGGCCTCGATAACCCCCCTGGTGCAAGTTTTCAACGAAAAAAATTTTGACTCATATCATCCCCCCACTGGGGGTGTAATAGTGCAATAGTGCCGATATTTTTTGACGAAGAGATCACTCCATACAAGCACTTTCACCATAGGCAAATTTTATGAATTCCTCTTGCAAATCCAAGACTAACTGATGGAGAAGCGAATGACGTGTTGTCGCAAAGGTTCATGCATATCCACCGGTCGGGTCGTCCGGCTAACGCCCGCTGCCCTTCTTCTTATGACAGAGCTGTGATAATCGGGAAACCGGCTCCTCATTATTTGGAACAAATGGTACTTCTCCTAACATGGAACTTGTCAGACGATTAATAGACCATGGAAACGGTATTCAAAATGAGCATATGCTCATGCCTATAATTAGAAATCTAAATCTGCTCGTGTTCATTTTAGAAATAATGACCCATTGGAGGTTCAACTGGTAGGTAACCAAAAGCTTGAGCGGAACTTACAAATTTTGTCGCGTCGTAATAACACTATTAAGAAATGTATTTATTAATGAAGCGTCCTTTCTCTATGTATCTATCACGATGAGAATCCAAAATTATCAACGGTATCAAGTTCTGCCAAGAATGATATCGAAGTAAAGAGAAATCATAATCTTTCATCGAGTCACAAGCTTTGCTGAGGACCAGTCGTAATTTGTTATCTCCTTACATATTAGTATCATTAATCGGTACCTATCACTGCCCTTACCCTTCTTGTCGCATGTAACACATCAAAGAGTCAAAGCTAGATTGTGAATAACAAATACGTTAGCATTCAGTTGATGAGTAGCTTTTTCTCTAAGGCTCCTTCTATCGTCAGTGATCTCTATTCCAATTCTGCCTTCTCCACTCCTATCATTTTTGAACTCTCCATATGCACGGGAAGTGGTGCTATGGATTTTCACTCAGGCCCCCATTGGGAACCCCTCACTTGTGTTTAGTCCTGCTACCCACCGTAAGTGTTCCGATCCTGCAGCCTGTAGTCCTACCAATTTTGAATGCTCTAGGTCCCCGGGAATAGGAGTTGTGAATTTCAGGCCGGACACACACAGTACACATACACACATACAAGCAAACACACACAAACACACAGACATTAGCGCGTTATACCCTACTATATGTAACGCGCTAAGTGTGTCTATTAGTTTGTCTGTCCGCGAGTGTGTTTGACCGGAAATTCATAACTCCGGTTTTCGTGGAGCGGGAGAGTTCAAATTTGGTAGGAGTACAGGCGACAGGATGGAAGCACCTATGGTGGGTGGCAGGACCGGACTCCGCCCACATAGGGCAGGGTTTGTGCGAAAGAAATGTTGGGCAAAAATTCATAGCTCCGACTCCTATGGACCTAGAGTGTTCAAATTTGGTAGGAGAGCAGGAAGCAAAATGGAAACACTGATATCAGGTGACAGGTCTGCACACCGCCTGCGAGGGGCGTGGCGTGAGCGAAAACATTCAATTCGGTCCAGTCGAACCTTCAATGGGTCATTACTTTAGATGAACTGAATCAGATCGAGACATCTAATTATGGGCATAACCGTGGGCACATACTGAATACCACTCGAATGCCCTGTCAATCCTCTGGTGAGTTTCGTGTTCCAAAAAGTATCGTTTGTTCCAAGGAAGGAGCGGGCCGTCTGCTGATTATTACAACTGTATCATGAAAAAGAGGGACGCCCGGCATTAGCCAGGTGTCCCGACTGCTATAATATGTACAGGGTGACCCAAATAATGTGTGACACAGAAAACTAACATTAAAAGTATGCAAAACGAAACCAAATAGGAACATCTATACAATAATCACAAAAATTGCAAACTACATATCACATCTCGCATTCAGAACGACCACCTTTCGCCTTAATGCAAGCATCCAACCTCTCTCGGAAGTTTTCAAGAAGGCGCGCAATCAGTTTCGGCAAGATTTCACCCCATACTTTTACAAGAGAACTTTTTCAGAGAGTCTAAAGATCTGTGCTTGAAAGCGCAAGCTTTTTTCTCCAGATTAGCTCCATACAGCAAAATATGAAGGATTGGTATAGGAGAATTTGCAGGTTTAACTCCTTCGTGTTTTTAGAGAACGAAGGTCGCTTTTGGAAGTGTTTTAACTGTATCAGGGAATTTTGGTGCAGTTCTCAGATGCGAAACAGCAAATAAAAAAATAG